CCAGAGTATTTTTGGGATTTTTTAAAATCCTAACATAAAATACACATTCTGGTACTCTCTTGAGAAGAAAAATAAATAAATCTATTACTACACATTTAAAAAAATGAATGGCATTTTAGTTTTGTGTGACTTTGTTCTGAAAGCTGAACCTGCTGCTCCTCACAGAGAGAAGAGGGAAGAGGCTGTGTGAATTACTTTACATTGTGGATAAGGGTGGATAGCCCCCATTGTTCTGTGTGTCAAAATGAAAGACAGCCCACACACCTATCAATCATCAAACCGTGGGGTCTTATTTCATTACGTGTTGATGTCTATCAACACGTAATGTTGTATCGATGTATAGATGTACTACAGCAAAAGTATTCTCCGTCGGGACATCCTGCAACAACACCACGCCGTTATCGTGATTCTGATTGGCCAGAAGACATTATCAAAGATGTTCTATTGAGAAGATGATCACTACGTGACAAAAGTTTTCAAAACCGTTTCCAGTCTTCGTATTCTTGTTTTTGGTGTGAGAATAGTTTGGGCAGCGTGAGAGCGTGAGATTGAGAGTGAAAGCGTGTGTCACACGCCAGATGCGTGAGAGTTGGCAACCCTGCCGTTAGTGCGCTGGGCTAATGCTAATGCTAATAATGCTAATGCGAGCAAATAAAATGGCGGCTTCACAAAGACTTTTCCAAGTTTTACGGGGCGTGGTTTGCAATCCGCCCAGCCAATCAGAAATTGGAACCTTTTCCTCCCCAGGAAAGTCCCACCTCTCTAGCAGGGACTGAAAAGGGGTGAAAATGTTCGCAAAAAAAAGTTCTAGTTCCTGATCTTTTTGGTGTGAACGCAAAATCCCAGGAACTATCGGAACTATTCCTGGGAAAAGTACTCCGGTGTGAAAGCGCTAATGTTTGTATATATCTGAGACCTATAATATATTGATGAAAAACAGTATAATAGGGAACCTTTAAGACAGGACTGGTCAAACCAAAGTAAGGGGGGAAACGAACACAATAGGACGGTTAAAGGTAGAACATGTTTTGAATGCATTAGATTCAAGACTTGAGGCAAATGGATGGAAACCTGAAGAACGCGATGCTCTCTAAGCGCCCTCACTCAGAGTGTTTTCACCTGAATGTTTCCATCTCCATTCATAACATGTATCATCACTGAAACTGTCCTTGCTGGTGTTCCTCCTACATCCTGTTTGCATCCTGACAATCGCATCGGCCCAGACCTGATTTATCTTCTTGGTACTCGCCTTGAACCTTTCCGCCACAATCTCTTCTCATCTCTCCATCTCTGAGTACAAGTGTTTCCTCGCTGCTTCTCTCAATGGCTAATGGACTCCATGCAGCACAGAGAGTCTTTTATGGTAAAGGCTCCTTGATCAAAATCATGTTTCAATGCCATATAGAGAAAAAAGACATAAAGGGTGAATTATATTTTCTGTTCCCGGCAGTATTCTATAGGTTCAACCCATGGAGCATCAATATGAAGCACTCAGGGAGCACGCATTTTCAACAGCCTCGTACTTACTATATGTTTTGTATGTGACGTTAAAGGGTTTACAGCTAAAATGTCAACATACGTCATTTTTAAACAATTTCAAACCCATATGTTGAGCATGGTTATACTCGGAGGTGGGAAGTAGTGGAGTACAAATACTTTGTTACTGTACTTAAGTACATGTTTCTGGTATCAGTACTTTACTCCACGGTTGCGTTCGAATACTCCAAAAAAACAGCTCCTAAGTTCTAACCCTATCGTCTATTCCTTGACCTCGGAGTGAAACGTCATGGGGTTAAGGGATAGTGGATAGGAGAATTCAAAAGGATTTAGGAGAAGAGACTGCGGCACTTTAGAGAATCCGACTGCACTTTCACTATCCGACGTGTTTATGATGCGCCAGCAGAGGTCATAAATGTGCGCCTGCTGCTGTGGGGAAACTATGGAAACTACAGTTTCTATACAGCGGACTACAACATGGATGTTTAATAAGAACGAGGGACTACTGTAAACTCATCTAGAGACTCTGCACCGTGCTCTGATGCTGTTGTTTTATGCTTTATGAACGGGGACAACAGAGAAACATATTCTTCATGACCAAAGTTGAAATTGAAATAAAAAAGGAAAGTGAAACTTATGCTCGTCACCCTCTCCCTCCGGTCCACATTAATACAAATGATCCCAATACATATGATTGTATGAAAAGATCTTAAAATCAATACAAATGTATTTATTATAAACGTTAGTCCTTAACATCTATCACTGTGTATATCACCATTCAAACATCTTTTAAAAGTTGAACAAACCCCACACAGCTCAGTAAAGACTGTGAAATGTTGACTTTATTTGATCATTTCAGTAAAAACTAACGTTCATATTTCTCTTTTTGATTATAATACGGATGAACGTTCAAAACAAAGCACTTTGGCAACTTACCACATACGTTTTAAAATGCTTAATAAGCACCGTAACTTTCATGATATCATTTCTCGTTCATAATCGGTTGTTTCCGTGAACGGCCGACTGTTGTGTGACGGCAAATGCTGCGGCCGCAAGGCATTGTGGGGCAGCATTTTCTCCTCTCCTTTCGGTTAGGGAGGTCCAGTGGTTCCTAGGCTAAAGGAGGTTATAAAGGAAGTTTGAAACCTCCTTTCCTTTTAATTTAGAGAATTCGAACGGCACTTATCATGGCTGCCACTGAGGGACTTCCGGGTCATTTCACTCCGTTAGGAAGGTTCCTAAGCTAAATGGACTATTCGAATGCAACCCACGACTTATTTTTCTGACGACTTTTTACTTTGACTTCTTACATGTTGAACACAAATACCTGTACTTTCTACTTCTTACATGTTGAACCCAAATACCTGTACTTTCTACTTCTTACATGTTGAACCCAAATACCTGTACTTTCTACTTCTTACATTTTGAACCCAAATACCTGTACTTTCTACTTCTTACATGTTGAACACAAATACCTGTACTTTCTACTTCTTACATTTTGAACACAAATACCTGTACTTTCTACTTCTTACATGTTGAACACAAATACCTGTACTTTCTACTTCTTACATGTTGAACACAAATACCTGTACTTTCTACTTCTCACATTTCCCAAACAGGCTGGTTCCTTTAGTTTGAATGTGTGTTTGGTGGCGTGATCATTATTATTTAGAGTCATTGCGTGCCTATTGATTTGAACACGATCCGTGTATCCATCATTTCCTGGTCTTCTCTAAAGAAGAGGGACCAATGAAAACGTTGTCATGTTGCCGTTGTTCAGCATGGAAACATTCATTAGCTAACAATGACATTATTGTTCTATTAATATAAAGGGAGGTCAGGTACTCTTTAAAACAGCTGCTAGTTATGGGTACTTTTTACTGAAGTACATTTCAAAGCCCTCTTTACTTTTACTTGAGTAAAGAAATTTAGTCAGTACTTCTACTTCTACCAGAGTATTTTTAAACACGAGTATCTGTACTTCTACAGTAAAGGATGTGTGTACTTCTCTGCTGGGATTAGATCCAGGTTTGTGTTTACTTCAGGGTTTGTTTGGCTGGAGATGGATCCCTAAATACTGAACAGATCCAGGCTGTGAGATGTGCTTCAGGCTCAGTTTTATTCCTGATTCCTTTGAGGCAGGAGTATCTGAGAGTCTGCAGAGAGCCGCTGCTCAATGAGCAATTTATATGTTCTCAACAAAGCTTCTTCTTTAGCCCCTGAAGGCTGGTCTTAATTGTTAGACGTGATATCTCCACTCCCCTTCCTCTCCTCTCCTCTTTTCTTTTCACTGTCTCCCTCCTCCCACCCAGCCTCCCTCCAGCTATTAGGAATTGGATTTGGAGCAGAACGATCCATTTAGTCTCTCTCTCCTCCATCTCTATCCCTCTCTCCCAGCTTCCACACCTCCTCTGTAGCTTTTCTCTCATCAAAGCCCGAGCTTAATCTGTCTATTTTTACCTGAAGGAATGAAAGGGAGGGATGAGGTAATGCTTTCCCTGTCCATCAGGTGGGCAGCGGAGCATGGTGTCTCTGTGAGGAAAGCTAATGGAGATAGCACCCCCACGTGGCCTCGGAGAAAATGAACCATAGTGACAAGAGAAGAAGGGAGGAACAGTCTGAAGACATTTGATCACCTCAAGTTGTAAAAGGGACACAGAATAAAACGGAAAATAGCGATCAGCTGAAAAAAAGGTGGACAAAATAAACAATTATGAGGTTTTTAAGACATTTTAGCACCAACTTCATATTGAGTCCACCTTGAAGTGAATGTGTGACAGCATAGCACCACCTAGTGGACTGGAGAAGATAATGACAGCAGAAGCAGGGAGAAACAATCTGAAGACATATAATCACCTAAAGTCCTAAAGGGAAACAGAAAAACCAAAAAAAAGCGATCTCCAGCTGAAAACAATATATATGAGGTTCTTTTGACATTTTAGCACCAACTTCATATCAATTCTTCATTTCCCTTTGAGGTAGTCCACCTAGAAGTGAATGTGTGACAGCATAGCGCCACCTAGTGGACTGGAGAAGAGGAACTTCTTCAGACATATGATCACCTAAAGTCATAACAGGAATCTATAGCCAAAAAAGAAACTGTAAAAAATCAAATGTAAAAAAGATATGAGGTTTTTTTAGACATTTTATCACTGACTTCTATTAATTCTTCTATTTCCTTTGAGGTAGTCCACCTTGAAGTGAATGTGTGACAGCATAGCGCCACCTAATGAACTCGGAGAGAATAATAATGACAGCAGAAGAAGGGAGGAACAGTCTGAAGACATATAATCACCTAAAGTCATAAAGGGAAACAGAAAAACCAAAAAAAAGCGATCTACAGCTGAAAAATAATAAAATATATATATGATGTTCTTTTGACATTTTAGCACCAATTTCATATAAATTCTTCATTTCCTTTTGAGGTAGTCCACCTTGAAGTGAATGTGTGACAGCATAGCACCACCTAGTGGATAAAAGCAGTAAGAAAAAACAACACAAACGTGATTTTTGTATTTATTTGAAAAAAGTATTGATCTTTCACATCTGTTTTTCTTTCTGAGAGATTTCACATGAACATTGCAGCTTTTGAAAAGGTACAAAATGAGTCAAACCATCAGAGATTGATATTTAAAACCCACAGTATCAGGAAATCAAAGATACAGTTTGTGTAATATCTATCCGTCATTGGTTCAATGGATTCACAGCTCCAAAGATATTAAACAACCCTCATATTAAATGTTTTTCTTAGAAAAACTGGTCTGCTTTTGTATTACTTTCCATAAAGGTAGCTAGCAAATAAAAAACATGTTGAGTCAGTTCATGGTCCCTCAAACCCCTTCTTTATGGGGTATAAATCTATGGCAGTGTATGGCAGATTGTTCTAGTGTTTGTCACATAGTGGTGACATGATCAATATCCCGATCCCTTTCACCTGATATTACGTTTAGTTAAACCTGAAGAGCAGCAGGAAATAAAGGGCAGTGTCCATTTGCCTGAGATCCACCAGAATGTCTAAAATAAACCCCCCTCATTTCTTAAATAGCTGTACTTCATAGATAAGAAAATACATTTTCAAATAAATAACATATCTCCAGAAATGGGCCGCAAAAAAACCCCAAAGGAATTCAGAAACCCAAAGTTAAAAAGAGAACTTTCTTCATGTTTGCTTCATCCTCACATCTTTGTTTCTCCACCTCGATTAAAGGCACCGAGGTGAAGCTGCATTATGGAGAGAAACATCATGAAGAAGGGAAGGGGTTCGCATTAAAGGTCCCCTATTATACTGTTTTTCAATATATCCCAGGTCTCAGATATATACAGAACATGTCTCCGATTGGCTGAAACACCAAACAGATCATTGCAGCATCCCATAATCCCCTCTGTTTCAGCCCTGTTCTGTTGAAAATAAGGAGCGGAGACATGTTGATGTGGAAAAGACATGAAGACCTTTAAAGTCTTCCATCTTCCATCCTTCAGTCTTCTTTGCTGTGGCTCAGTCCGTTGCAGTTCTTAGTTTGACTGAAGTTGCGCGGATGGTTTTCAAAATCGAGGTAATCCTGGACGAAGTGTGGCTGCTGCTCTATGAAGTGATGAAGTTCAGCTGGGGAAAGGAAGCAAAACATACAATAAATGTGTGAAATGTTATCAAATCAAATCAAATCAAGGTTTATTTATAGGGCACATTTAAAAGCGATTTTTGGTCGGGCCAAAGTGCTGTACATGTAATAACTACAATCACATAAAAACACATTTTTATAAGCACAATAAAAGACAATAAATTACAACAGATATTTAAAAAGAAAACACAGGGAAATGTCAGGAGTCGTGCTCCGCTCTGACTAGAAGGCCAGGGAGAAGAAGTGTGTTTTAAGAGTAGATTTAAAAACCCCTAGGGTCTGGGCCGACCTCACATGGAGGGGCAGAGTGTTCCAGAGCCTAGGGCCAGCTGCTGCGAAGGCTCGGTGCCCTCAGGTTTTGAGCCTGGTCTTGGGCACTATCAGCAACAGCTGGTCAGCAGACCTTAAAGCTCTTGTTGGGGTGTAGCGCTGGAGGAGTTCAGCTATATAGGCCGGAGCCAGCCCAATTATTACTTCTGTCAGTGGATGTCAGGTTTCTACATTATAAACACGTCTGATGTGATTCTGCTTTGTAAAGAAGGGACAGGATGAATAATAAAGTCAAGGAGGCATTTTAACGTCAATATGTTTTTGTTAAAAAGCACCTCTTTTCACCCTCTGTCTGAAACCAGAGCCCAGTCTGCTCTGATTGGTTAGCTGGCCAGCTCGGTTGTGATTGGTCAACGCTTAGAGATGTCCCGCCACTTAGACTATCACGTAGTATGGCTTTAAAACCTCAGAGAATATTCGTGTACATTTACCACTTCAATCCGAGTGAATATCCAAATATCTTTCTATTAAATGTACAAGTTTTTTTTTTGTTTTTTTTACCCAGAATGAACCTTATAGGCCTTTTACTTATTAAAAAAAACAAATATATCTGATTGACAGAGAGCTGTGACTCAAGCTTGCACTGACACAATATATATATATATATATTTGTATACACATTTTTACTTAAACCGATATATCCCTGCACTTTAACTTTATCTGAATATTGAAGTGTGAATGCTTGTTGTTTGTATGTTGTCCTTTCCTGAATGTTGTTTGTTTTTTGTATTTTTGAGTTGCTCTACTCATCTCATTGTACCTGTATAATGACAATAAAGGATTCTATTATATTCTATTCTACTAGGATTGTTTGAGGTTGAAAAGAGACAGGCGACGGCCAGACATCTATCGACGCAGAAAATCGGCTTGTTGTGAAAGGACCGTAAGCTGAGAGGAAATGAGATGTGACTCTGACAGAAGCTGTCAATCATCTCCAGAGTTTTCTCATATGAACAAAGATATGATCATTCATTTTGTACTGAAGCAGGAATAAGAGTAGGAATAAGAGCGGGAATAAGAGCGGGAATAAGAGCGGGAATAAGAGCGGGAATAAGAGCGGGAATAAGAGCGGGAATAAGAGTAGGAATAAGAGCAGGAATAAGAGCAGGAATAAGAGTAGGAATAAGAGCAGGAATAAGAGCAGGAATAAGAGCGGGAATAAGAGCGGGAATAAGAGTAGGAATAAGAGTAGGAATAAGAGCGGGAATAAGAGCGGGAATAAGAGCGGGAATAAGAGCGGGAATAAGAGCGGGAATAAGAGCGGGAATAAGAGCGGGAATAAGAGCGGGAATAAGAGCGGGAATAAGAGCAGGAATAAGAGTAGGAATAAGAGTGGGAATAAGAGTGGGAATAAGAGCGGGAATAAGAGCGGGAATAAGAGCGGGAATAAGAGCGGGAATAAGAGCGGGAATAAGAGCGGGAATAAGAGCGGGAATAAGAGCGGGAATAAGAGCGGGAATAAGAGTAGGAATAAGAGTAGGAATAAGAGTAGGAATAAGAGTAGGAATAAGAGCGGGAATAAGAGCGGGAATAAGAGTAGGAATAAGAGCGGGAATAAGAGCGGGAATAAGAGTAGGAATAAGAGTAGGAATAAGAGTAGGAATAAGAGCAGGAATAAGAGTAGGAATAAGAGCAGGAATAAGAGCAGGAATAAGAGTAGGAATAAGAGTAGGAATAAGAGTAGGAATAAGAGTATTACCAGAACATTTACAACAGTTGTTTGTTTTTGGATCAGACAATGAAGACCAAAGAAGGACATTTAATTTTAAGCATCCTTATGCAAGACGTAAATAAAGCAAATGTGTATTTCTGTGGTTGGTGTAAAACTGTGGAATGATCTAAAGAATGATCTAACGCAGCGGTTCCCAACCTGTGGGCCACCAAATCATTTGCAAAACATTATGATTTGTGTGGAAACATTTCATTATTAAGATTTGTTTTTATTTGAACCTCCTTTCCTTTCTCTTTCTTGATCCTCCGTAGCAACGGTCATTACAGTCCTTGACAGCGGTCTGTTCTACTAACAACGTGTCACATGTTCTGAATTGACCAATCAGAATCAAGTATTCAACTAAACCGTGTAATAAAAATGTCTGCTTGTTACTGATGGCCAGCTCCTTTTTCTAATTAAAATAAAAAGTACTCTTTGAGAACTTTATTTAGCCTCCGTATTGTTTATGGTTGAATGTGGGCCGCGAATATTTTTTTGATTCGTAAGTGGGCCCTGAGTTGAAAAAGGTTGGGAACCGCTGATCTAAAGAATTGTAGAAGTATTCTTCAGTTAAAGAACTTGTATAAATGAAGAAAAATGGGACTATATGAAGCAGAATGTGAATACGTTTATGTACTCTGGTCCTGCATCGGTAAATATTTGTGATGTCTGTTCTTTATTTGCAGGTCCCATTATTATTATTATTATTGTTATTAATATTATTGTTATTATGCGCCGCTTTCCCCCTTCTACTCTAGTAGGACTCAGATTTTGAACTTTTCCTTGTTCATGAGATGTTTTGTTGTTGTTGTTGTTTTTTAGTTTTGTTTCTTTCCGTTAACCGTCAAGTGGGAAATACGTTTTTTTTTTTTACGTTTTTGTGTTTCTCCTATTTTCCTACGATACTGTTATGAATAGGCGCTTTCACACCGGAGTACTTTTCCCAGGAATAGTTCCGATAGTTCCTGGGATTTTGCGTTCACACCAAAAAGATCTGGAACTAGAACTGGGAACCTTTTCAGTCCCTGCTAGAGAGGTGGGACTTTCCTGGGGAGGAAAAGGTTCCAATTTCTGATTGGCTGAGCGAATTGCAAACCACGCCCCGTAAAACTCCGAAAAGTTTTGTGACGCCGCCATTTTATTTGCTCGAATTAGCATTATTAGCATTAGCCCAACGCACCAACGGAGAGAGACTAACTTATGGCAACATAAAATAAAAACGTGGGAGCGGTGGAGTGATGAGGAGGTGTCGGCGTTCTGGCGATTTACCCGGGACTTCGGGTGGCAGTATACGCCGTGAAGTTGTTTGCGGCCTGCCAGTAAACCCAAAGCAGAAGAAGAATTGCGTAATCCTCCCTCAGGGACTTATTCCGGTGTGAACGCGATCTACTAGATAGTTCAGGAACTAAAGATCTCCGGGGAAAAGTACTTGGTGTGAAAGCGCCTAATGGCTGTGAATAAGAAAATATGAAGGACAGACCATCTATTTCTATTTATTTATTTATTTTGAGAAAGGGGCAGGTAATATAAGATTATTTTCGGGCAGGTAATATAATAATAATAATAATAATAATAATAATAATAATAATAATAATAATAATAATAATAATAATAATAATAATAATAATAATAAAGCTTTATTTATATAGCACTTTTCTGCTTTACAAAATGACACATCACAAGTTAAAAACAAACAATAAGATTATTTTCTTCTCTCTGCTCCTTTTCGGGTACGGTTTGTTTATAGAGACATGTTTTGTTAATAATTGTTATCCATTAAGTTGTGCATACCATGAACGGAACAAATACAAATGAAATGAAGTCTTACCATATGTGATTTTGGCGGTTTCAGGTCCGCTCAGCGCCGAAAAAAGACCGGAGAGATCCAGTTCTCTCACTCCCAACATTATCTCCAAGATGGCAGCGAGGTCTTCCTCCAAGACGTACCCGTTGTCCTCGCTCTCAAACATCTGCCCGAAAACACGTATGCATTGAACATAAATCTCGTTATTTATACAAACTGAATGTGTATGTGAGCTTATTGCAAAACAGTAAAAAAAGAGACATGTCAATCTAATAAATTCCTATTACACACATTCATAAAAAACATACTTGAATTGAGATTGAATGGTCAATGTGCTCACCTTAAAGGCCAGTTTGAGCGTCTCCATGGCCTGTGACGGTCGATGGACCGTCGACAGAGCGATGACAAAGAGTCGGATGTCGATCAGTCCCTCTCCACGCTGGAAAAAAGGATCAAAGTGAGCAGGAGAAGTAAAGGACATGATGTGATCCTGCATGAAAAGGTCATTTGCTGCAAATTTGCAATCATCTACAGCTTGAAATAATGTAAACTAAGCTAGAGAAGGAAGCGCCAAACTCACATTTCTTAACGGTTTGGCAGCTTTCTGATGAATGTCCACAAGAGGGAGCTAATGAGCTATTGTCAAATCAGTGCTACACATAAAACCTTAAATATTTCAATAAATAGTAAAGTAATGATACTCTGTGCATGTATATAAAGAAGTATATAGTAGTTGACAAAAAGAAATGTGTTTATTAAATCTTCCATTTCTTAAAATGCATATGTTTGCAGATCTTTCATTTTCAGCCGAGTTCTTCGACATCAAACCCTCCATTGAGCTCTTTGTAGTTTCTAAATACAGCCTTCTTCGTATTGTGCTATATTTAGGAACGTATGAAAGCTGTTTTTTTCCTCAGATATAAAAATAGAAGTCCCATGAGCCCGAAGACTAAATATAGAACATCTTAACGGTGAGATTGGTTTCGAAAATGTCTTTGTATTTGCACTTAGGTAAACCAAAAGGAGGTGTGTGTGTGTGTGTGTGTGTGTGTGTGTGTGTGTGTGTGTGTGTGTGTGTGTGTGTGTGTGTGTGTACCTGGTCGAAGAGGCTGTGGACCTGTGTGTGTGTGTGTGTGTGCGTGTGTGCGTGTGTGCGTGTGCGTGCCTGGTCGAAGAGGCTGTGGACCTGTGTGTGTGTGTATGTGTATGTGTGTATGTGTATGTGTATGTGTATGTGTGTGTGTGCGTGTGCGTGTGTGCGTGTGTGTGCATGTGCGTGTGTGCGTGTGTGTGTGTACCTGGTCGAAGAGGCTGTGGACCTCTGCGAGTGTGTGTGTGATTGACAGGTTGAGGAACGTGGAGACTTCCTGCAGATTGACCCTCTCTCCCTGCAGATCTCTGGCTCTCTGAACCTGATCCTGCAGCAGCGAGTCCGTCCTCTCTGCTCTCAGCCTGGAAACCCAACACAGAAAATATGAAGAAATCACATATCAATTAGCCTTAATGTCAACCAGAGGTGGGAAGTAGTGGAGTACAAATACTTTGTTACTGTACTTAAGTACATGTTTCTGGTATCAGTACTTTACTCCACGACTTATTTTTCTGACGACTTTTTACTTTGACTTCTTACATTTTGAACACAAATACCTGTACTTTCTACTTCTTACATGTTGAACACAAATACCTGTACTTTCTACTTCTTACATGTTGAACACAAATACCTGTACTTTCTACTTCTTACATGTTGAACCCAAATACCTGTACTTTCTACTTCTTACATGTTGAACACAAATACCTGTACTTTCTACTTCTTACATGTTGAACACAAATACCTGTACTTTCTACTTCTTACATGTTGAACCCAAATACCTGAACTTTCTACTTCTTACATGTTGAACACAAATACCTGTACTTTCTACTTCTTACATTTTGAACACAAATACCTGTACTTTCTACTTCTTACATGTTGAACACAAATACCTGTACTTTCTACTTCTTACATGTTGAACCCAAATACCTGTACTTTCTACTTCTTACATGTTGAACACAAATACCTGTACTTTCTACTTCTTACATGTTGAACACAAATACCTGTACTTTCTACTTCTTACATGTTGAACACAAATACCTGTACTTTCTACTTCTTACATTTTGAACACAAATACCTGTACTTTCTACTTCTTACATGTTGAACACAAATACCTGTACTTTCTACTTCTTACATGTTGAACCCAAATACCTGTACTTTCTACTTCTTACATTTTGAACACAAATACCTGTACTTTCTACTTCTTACATGTTGAACCCAAATACCTGTACTCAGTTGCGGCTCCAGAGTATTTTTGTTGGGTAATCTATGGTAGGGCTAACCCATACAGTGGTGGGGCTCAAGTCAGTATTTGCAATGTAAGTACATACACGCTATATCGCCCCCCTTGACAGTCTCAATCCAAATTGAACTGTATGAAATAAAAAGGCACATTTGTCTTGTAGTAAATAAAAAGAGCGACCTGGAGCCAATCCTGCAATTTCCCCACAGGTGAAAGAGTTGACATGCTGAAGACCCAACCCCTGCAAGGGGGTCTGGGGGGATTCTCCCCCAGGAGTTTTTTAAATACTAACATAAAATACACATTCTGGTACTCTCTTGAGAAGAAAAATAAATAAATCTATTACTACACGACATATTTAAAAAAATTAATGCCATTTTAGTTTTGTGTTACTTTGTTCTGAAAGCTGAACCTGCTGCTCCTCACAGAGAGAAGAGGGAAGAGGCTGTGTGAATTACTTTACATTGTGGATAAGGGTGGATAGCCCCCATTGTTCTGTGTGTCAAAATGAAAGACAGCCCACACACCTATCAATCATCAAACCGTGGGGTCTTATTTCATTACGTGTTGATTTCTATCAACACGTAATGTTGTATCGATGTATATAGAGATGTACTACCGCAAAAGTATTCTCCGTCGGGACTTCCTGCAACAACACCACGCCGTTATCGTGATTCTGATTGGCCAGAAGACATTATCAAAGATGTTCTATTGAGAAGACGATCACTACGTGACAAAAGTTTTCAAAACCGTTTCTAGTCTTCGGTATTTCCCATATACAGTCTTTGGTATTTCCAGACAAGTGGCTACTGAAATCAATATTACTAACTGCTGTCTGTGCAATTTACTCCGCGCGAGTTGGCGGACTTTATTTTGCTTACTTTAACATCATTTTTCATGGTGGGGCTAAGGTGGGGCTAAGCCATTTCTTGGTATGGCTGTAGCCTACCCCAGCCATACCCTGGCGCCGCCACTGCCTGTACTTTCTACTTCTCACATGTTGAACACAAATACCTGTACTTTCTACTTCTTACATGTTGAACACAAATACCTGTACTTTCTACTTCTCACATTTTCCAAACAGGCTGGTTCCTTTAGTTTGAATGTGTGTTTGGTGGCGTGATCATTATTATTTAGAGTCATTGCGTGCCTATTGATTTGAACACGATCCGTGTATCCATCATTTCCTGGTCTTCTCTAAAGAAGAGGGACCAATGAAAACGTTGTCATGTTGCCGTTGTTCAGCATGGAAACATTCATTAGCTAACAATGACATTATTGTTCTATTAATATAAAGGGAGGTCAGGTACTCTTTAAAACAGCTGCTAGTTATGGGTACTTTTTACTGAAGTACATTTCAAAGCCTCTTTACTTTTACTTGAGTAAAGAAGTTTAGTCAGTACTTCTACTTTCACCAGAGTATTTTTAAACACGAGTATCTGTACTTCTACTTGAGAAAAAGGATGTGTGTACTCTTCCATCACTAGTTGAGTTGACCACACATTTAATAACTTTGAAGACAGATTTTCCCTGTGTGTGTTTCTACTCAGCCACCACTAGGTGTCAGTGTTTCTTCCCCTTCAGAGCCTCAAAACTTAGATTCCCAGCTTACTCCCACCAGAGGCCTGTACTACGAATCTGGTTCAACCTAACCTGGATATGTTTGAGTTAGCCGGTTGGCCTAATCCAAAACATACGCGCTCTGGCTAAGCTGTACTACGACGCTGGTTATCAAGTGGATCGCTCAAGCCAGCCGTGTCCTATCTAGTTAGGTGCGCGTTCACATGAAAGGGGTGGTATTTGGAGCATTCGACCAATCACAAACATGGACAAGCCGTGTACTGACAGCGCAGCGTCATACTTCCTGAATGAAAAGTGAACTTTAATATTAGTCAAATATGAAGAAGTTAAACTTTAAACATCCATGACTTAAACACTTTATCCAGGATCAAAGCCACATAGCTGCACCTGCAAGGTGAATACAGCTGGTAAAAGAAAAAGCGTTTGAATGCGTACATTAACAGGTTTATGAAATCACTGCCCCGTCCAAGACACGAGTGGATCTGACTTTAATTACATTTGACTCGAGTGTTTCGTCAACTTAATGTGTTGCTTAATATAATACTTCTGCATACAGTATGTGACACTGTGAGTGTTGCACAGCCAGATACGGCTCAGCTGACTCAGATAAGGAAATATATGATACATTATGATGTGATGTGATATGAATGATAATGGGACACATCGACGTCTGCACTCACAGTGCCGCGGACTGTACGTAATGTTACTCTGATCCGGTTACTTATGTTGTGGCAGATATTTAAGTAAGCTTTCTTAATGCTAATATTATAATAGTCAGATTGCTCTGAAGATGGGAGGGGATATTCTATTCATTTTCACGTTCACACAGTCGGTGATTTTGGCCGGCCGTCTTTCCTGCAACGGCAGTTTAAACTGTATTTCCTCCGCACACTGAGCTCTGATTGGTCAGCAGGCAGTGCTTTCACTGAGTTGATCTCTTATCCTGGAACCTATCCTGCTTCGGAGCAGACTAGGTTCCAGGATAAGTTACCGTGGAGATCTAGCCCGCTAAAAAGTGAACCAGCTTCGTAGGACCGGAAACCCCTGAAGTTAGCTTGCTAAACGAAAATCTTGCTTCGTAGTACAGGCCCCAAGTTAGCCGTTCAGCATAAGTTACCATGGAGATCTAGCCCGCTAAGAAGAGAACCAGCGTCGTAGGACCGGAAACCCAGAGTTTTCCCTGAAGTTAGCTCGCTAAGCGAAAATCCGGCTTCGTAGTACAGGCCTCTGGACAGACCAGTCTCTCTGCTTCTGTTTTATTTTTAAAAGAAACTCACCCCAGGCGGCAGACCAGCTGGTGGAACTGGAGCAGGCTGCTGTCGTCATGGATACTCAGCGGGCCGTGTGATAGGCTGATCTCACGGTCATCAAACGACAGGTCTATGAGTGGCAGCTCCAGCGCCCTATCAAAATCAAGTTGCAAGATTCAAAGGTTTTATTTTGTCTCAGGTTGCTCTTAAACTTACAAACTCTTTAACAACTCTGTACTCTGTTCTAACTTTCTACTCTTTTCTAAAAACTTTTCCCTCCTCCTCATCACATTTCTGCTCTTCTCAGACTGTCTCATAAAGATTCAAAGATTCAAAGGTTAGAAATGCCAATGACATTCTTCTGACCTGAGCTCCTCCAACAATGCAACATATATAATAAAATACAAAATAAAAAATAGTGCAAAAAGTCTATATCCATGTAAATAGAATATAATAATACATTTATTTTGTAAGCGCTTTTACAGGTGTAGTAAATAAGGACAACATACATACAGTAAAACAGTAAAAGTCACATTAAAATCGAGCAATAAAACAACAATCACACATTAAAGCCAGTTTGAAGAGGTGAGTTTTTGTACGTCGTTTGAAGGTAGTGAGGAACTAATATGATATGTACAAGAACTACAAGAACTACAATAACTACTTATAGTAGATGAAGTACATTATTCAAAAGTTTACATTAACTTTTGATAATAACACGGGAGAAACCTCTCAAATGTAACCAAGGCAGGCACCTGTGAATTGTGGCAAATTGATTTTCCGACGTTGGTAAAAATTGATGTGTGTTTTTGAAAGCGACCGCTCTGGAATACACCCAGTGGGCGGGGCTTCAGGTGATCATGCAGAGCTGCGTGTCTCCGTCTGACTCAGCAGCTGATCAGATCTCTGATCTCTCTCTCGCGTCCGGTTATACTTCACTCGCGTTTATGTCCATATCGATCAGATCCAGCTCTCCTGATCGGCCTTTATAGAGAGCACCGATCAAACTATTAAGAGTGAATATCGGCCGATAATGACCGGCGGCCGATCGATCGGAGCATCCCTAATTATTACCGGACACTTTGACCGGCAGGTTTTGAATGTACCGGTTTTTAATACATTTTACCAGCTAAAAACCGGTAATTACCGGTTAACGGAAACCCTGTAACACACATATTCTCACTTGTCATCAGAATCAGAAACAGGTTTATCACCAGGTAGGTTGACACATACACATATAGAAAACTATAATAACATATACAGTGGCGACTGGTCATTAGGGGCAGGTGGGGCACAGCCCCACCTAGTGTCAGCAGAAAGTATTACAAATAATGATTACAAAAATGCAAAAAAATAAATAAAAAAATATATAAAATATATTTTAAGATCATGTTTAATCATCTGATTCGTCTGTACATTGCTGTTTTAGTCTGTGTTCTTCTAATTAGTGTGTCTACAGTCACAGTGTGTGCCTATTGAGCTGTTTAGAGCCATGTGGGACAAAACCTGATTATGCCCCTTCCTCTCGCTGTGAAGTGAACGTGACTGTAAAAACTACACTGCGCATGCTCAGAGTATTTTGTAATGAAATGTGTGTGGCAAAAAAATAATGACCAGAGGGGCACGGAGCTACCATCCCCACCATACGTCATCTCAAATCATTCAGAGCTGATTGGCTGTAAGTACGTGTGCCGCGAAAAGTGTGCTGTGTGAAGAGGAGACGAGAGAGCTGCAGTGGCGCGTCCTAAAACCAGGAAGTAAGCACAAAAAAGCAATGAGATTTCTCCAAAGGATTTTAGAAAATAGCTCGAAATAAGATCTGTGGGAAACGTACCTGTTAGATAAATGCACGTTTTGATCAGCCGGATAACATCCACATGTCTACCCTACTTTTATAATTTTTTTATCATAAATCTATGGATTAGATTTATGATAGACTTTTGAAACTACAAGAACATAAGGAGGACTTTTACAAAAAAGTAATAGAAATGTTTGTCCAGAAGGATAGGCAAATGGACTTCATCTTCAAGTCAAGGTAAGACCGCCATTTTATTGAAAATGGGATCTTACTAAGAGAGAACAATTCAATATTTAAATGATAAAATTACATTTTTTGGGTATCCTTTTGTTGAACTGTCTGTTTAAAATTAATCGAAGCATCAGACAAAAAAAGCTTTTGAAAATAATATTATATTTTGGTTTAGGTCAAAATATAATATTTGTAAACCTGAAGAGTCAGTGCCAGTGCCTCACCAGCCATGAACCTCACTGCACGTCACTGCAGAAGCTTATATATAGACATCTACGTTTTTTGTGCCCCACCACTTTTGTACATATAAAAACGCCACTGAACATATAGTCAAATATAGAAGAGAGGGACAGTTAAAGAGGTCTCTCACACGTGTCTGAGTGTGTATGAACACCCAAAACAAGCATGTGTGTGTATGATCAAAGACTCTTATGCAAACACACCAACACACACTTACTTTGCCATGAGTTTTCGGACATTGCTGGCGAACAGGACCGGGTTTTCCTTCTCCTCCTTCGATGGTGTGTAAATAGGAAGGTACTAAGAAAAGAGAGAATGCCAACATAAAGAAAATGTACATTCACAAAACTAACTTACTAACTGTGTTGTATTAATACGCTTAGTTTGGTGAGAAGATTTAAGATGCTCTACAGAGAGAAACATGGGAAAAAATGATACTGCTGATCACAGTCAGTTTTGTATCTGTATTTATGACTTAAAGAGGACATATTATTCTCATTTTAGGGTTCATATTAGAGATTTGTGCCTCTCCCGTGCATGTTTACATGGTTTAATGTTAGAAAAAGTGCTTTATTTTGGGGTATTTTAGCCTCTGCAGACCATTTACATTCACAAAAACCTGTATAACTCTATAGGAGAGGAAACACCCCAAATAGCATAATAGGGCCTCTTTAAGAACATTTGAAAAAAAGATAAATATATATTTTTTTTAAACTATAATAAATGAAACAGGAGGAGAATTATTTTTTGCAAGTATAATTAGTTTGAGTTACTGTTTTGGGAGACTTAACATATCTTCGATAAGAACAGGTGAACAAAATAAGTTTTGGCAAGCATTCATTTGTTTTGTCAGGACCGTGGTTGTTGTAATACTCATTTTGGCCACAAGAGGATAATAATAATAGATTCCATTTTTATAGAGCCTTTCAAGGGACCCAAGGCCGCTTTACATGCTGTGAACAAACACACAAACAAACAAACAAACAAACTAACAAACAAGTAGGGCAAATAATAAAGTATTTGGACAGTTTAAATACTTTAACACACTTTTTAAATCCTGTCTTAAAAACACTCTCCTCAGCATTCTGCATTTTGTAGATGGTTGCATTTATCGCTTTTAAATGGTATATTGTTCTTACTATCCGGCTGTTGTTTTTATTCTTGTTTATTTTGTGTTTTTGTTTTGTGATTCTCTATTTCTCTGTGTAGCATTTTGGTCTGGAGGTTTTTAAAAGTGCTTTATTAAATAAAGTTGGATTGGATATGCAAGTTACATAACATTACAATCTTCTGTTTTAATGCTCCACAAAAAAGGTTTGAAGGAACTAATGAAGATTCTGCTGATTAGGTCTCAAACACAGGAGAGAGAATGTGACATTTTACAGACTTCTTGCTTATAACCCACTCACCTCTATCTCCATGGGATTGTGAAGTTGGCACAGCGTGAGCCACAGGAGTTTGAACCTGGAAGACAGAAGAGTTGAGTACAAATACTTCGTTACAGTACTTGAGTACATTGTTCTGGTATCACTACTTTACTCCACTACTTATTTTTCTGACGACTTTTTACTTTGACTTCTTACATTTTGAACACAAATACCTGTACTTTCTACTTCTTA